TTGCAAATTGCTAGATGTTGCTATCTAATGCCCCGGCCCTAGTCGTGACAAAGGGTTACAGCACTTTGATCCCAACTGAAAGTGCGAGCTAAATATGTGAACATCTGGCGGCCGCATCCACTAATTCAACAATCCATCTAGTTCATAGATAACTTGGCTTGCACAAGTTATGTTACCTCCAGCGACCACCTGGTTGATGATGCCAGTATACTATAAATCTTGCGGCAACAGACAGTCCAGACACTGAATAAGAGGTGAACGACGAGAGCCTTCAAGGATACACGTGATGACCGGCTGCTTTGAAGGAAATCACGTGAAGTCAGTAAAAGGGAGGATCGGATGCTTCTTTGGTTTTGGTGTTACTTACCTTGACCCAACACATCTGATGACTCCTCTTGAACCCTTTCAATGCTAGTTGCTTGCTTCGTGCATTGCGCGATATCAGCACCAGACGTAATTTTCCGATGAACGCAAAGGGCATTATTGTGGCGTTCTCAACATTGCATGAAGGAATGATGAGAATACTAAATGATATCCTACAAGGCTGTGAGGATTAGACCCGTGGCGGCATTTTGATCTTGCCTTGAAACGAATCATTGTCCAAATACAGGACAGCGGGGTTAGACCGCAGACTAAATCAGCCACGGCATCTGCGTCGATTCTGCGAGTGGAAGTGACTCGTAAATGGGGTCTCCGTCATCGTAAAATTTCCCGCTGTGCACACGAGGAATAGCTTCGAAGGCCGGGGAGAGCGTGAAAAATGATGAGCCTAAGAATGTGGTCTCCTGTATTTATGGTTACTGTGACCTCAATAATCAATTCGCTCAAGATGTGAACTTTGAGCCGCAGCGGAAATGAAAGATGCGTATCACGCGGGTCGGTACTCGTGGACCAAGTGCATCTACTTACCTAAGGTACTGGAACGACGGAGTATTTGATCCTGCGGGATCAACATATGTATTATTATCAGTGTCCGTGAGCACTGAGAGAAGCAGACGGACCATGAGATAACAGATTTGTGCAGGATCACACACTGAGCCGGGTGTTATGGCCAACTCTGGACAAGTTCGCGAGAGAATAGCCGGGAACGCTAGAGTGTAGCCTCTTCATGAGGTTTGTAAGACTTCTGGTCTGCCACATCCATGAGCGCTATGTATTTGCAGGCCGTAGACTCCAGTGTCTTGAGTGATATATGGCTTGCGTACTTTGCTTGCACGACTTCTTGCGATCTTCCAGACGTTCATCGCATTTCAACCAATCTCAAATGGCGAGTATGGCGCAGAGTATCCTTGATTGTCTGTCCCGCGAGCTCTTGTACCAAGGTGAATGACGGAAGTTATAACGACGCAAGGACAAAAAAATTGCAAGTCGTAGATAACAAGCGTTTGGTGCTGGAGTATCGCCGTGCTTGGCTGTCGGTCGCGAATGTTTACTCTTGTCTCAATAACAATTATCAAGCATCGAAGTGGACCGAGCCTCCATCTGTACCCTGTGTGCTCGCCATCAACTGGATTCCGTGGTTGTGACCTTCTCCGCCGCTGATGCACCCTTTTTCCATCTTGAGACCCTCTGTCTCACAAATCAGTTCACGCTGCTTTGTGCAAGGTTTGTCTTCCACGTTCTCTTTCGCGATCATTGATGACTCGTGCTTGAACGCATAGGCATTGTTGATTGCAGCAGCGACCACGACATGAGGGGGAGTGTACGACACGTTTCTGTCAAGACTTTTGGGTTCGAAACTCAACTCGGATAAAGTCAGAAGTACTAGTAAAAGTCGTTAGATCGAGAAGTAATAGCAGCTACAAACTTCTTGACTTCTGTATGTACCATATGCTGCAGGTCTTCAGGTCTTGAAGTTTACGAGACAGACGCGTGAAGCGGCGAGAAGAAGCAGACATGAACCGAGCTCGAACTCGAGAAGATATTGGGTTCGACTTTCTTTTGTTAACCGCCGTAACTTGAAGCTTCATGCTCGGCGATGCTGCATATTTTTAGAGAGCAGGTTTGTGAAGATCCCACTGAGCCGGGTGCTATGGCCACTGCTCTGAGAGTCCGCGAGACCGTGGTAGCCAGGAATAGTACCATTGCGGGGAGTGTGGGCTCTTCATGAAGTTTGAAATAAGTTCGTGGCAAACAGTGACTGAGCTGGCAAATCTCGCGCTACTTACCTTACATACATATTTCCTTCCTCTTCCACTTCGTGACAAAGTCAGTTCAGTCGATATTGACCCTTGTCCCTGGTTGTTCCGGCGGTTTCAGGCGGTCGTCGTACGTATCGCCCGGAGTGAACCGGAGCTTTTGACGTTCCAAGATTTTGGTGGCGCGCTCCAAGGAGGTTAGATGATTGGTGTTCGAACGAGAAATGACATTTATCATTAGAAATCAGACTAAACGAGGCACAAAGGGGTAGAAAATCGCGGAAATAAAGGGGTCGTATAAGCTAGCAGCCATCGGGAGATTATGGGATGAAGTTCCGGCAATGGCTTGTCATTGGTATAAAATCCTCCAAAAACTCGAGTTCCGCATACCGTCCCAACCGCCATCATCTTTTTCGTGTTCGTGATTCGCATCGTAGAGTAAGTCCTTGTCACTGTTACCATCAATGCCAGCCCCATAAGTCTTTCCATGCGGGGTACCCGAACAGAAGGGCTTCCGTCGCCACCACGGATCTTGCTCGGATCATCGTCATCATCATTTATTGTCTTGACTTTTGTTGACCAACTTCATCAGACTCTGTCCACCACAATGGTTCATCCCCACCAGACACCCTACGTTACACCCCACATCTTGCATAAAAATTATGCTCAGGCTTTTGACAATGAATTCCATAGTAACCGTAAGTGCACCCAACTGCTATACCTCCTATTTACTCAATGTTTCAAACAGTCATTGGCCGTGACCTCGAGTATTTCTCGCATGCAGGATTTGACATGGATAGGATCCAGCTGAAGCGCAATGCACCTGTAGCCCAGCTTTATGAAGATGCCATCCGCAATGAGGGCGCAATTATTTCCTCATCCGGCGCACTCATCAACTTCTCTGGTAAGAAGACCGGTAGAAGTCCTAAAGACAAGCGAATCGTCTATGAGGAGACAAGCAAGGATGATATATGGTGGGGCTCCGTGAATATCAAGATGGACGAACGTGAGTTTACTCCGTTAAATACCCGTTCCTTGTCTCAGTAGTTGTTTCTAGACACGTTTGAGATCAACCGCGAGCGTGCCATCGACTATCTGAATACGCGTGACAATGTCTACGTCTTCGATGGTTTTGCTGGTGTAAGTCCTGTGCTTCAACTACATGGGCTTTGCACTGCTCACTCTTTTTAGTGGGATCCCAAATACCGCATCAAGGTCCGGGTCATTTGTGCCCGTGCATATCACGCTCTCTTCATGGTATGTAGCTACAATCCACATGTATTTCATCTTCTGACATCCAGGAAGAACAACATGTTGATCCGCCCGACCGAGGAAGAGCTCGCAAGTTTTGGCGAGCCCGACTTCATTATCTACAATGCTGGTCAGTTCCCCGCGAATCGCTTCACAAAGGGCATGTCTTCCACCACGTCGGTGGAAATCAACTTCAAGCGCATGGAAATGGTCATCCTCGGCACTGAGTACGCCGGCGAGATGAAGAAAGGTGTCTTTTCCGTCATGCACTATCTTCAACCCGTGAAGTTTGGCCAGCTCTCCCTCCACTCGTCTGCCAATGTCGGAATGGAGAAGGGCGACGTCACCCTGTTCTTCGGTCTTTCCGGAACCGGAAAGACCACTCTCTCCGCTGATCCAAACCGCCTTCTCATTGGCGATGATGAACATGTATGGTCAGACACTGGGGTGTTCAACATCGAAGGAGGATGCTATGCCAAGTGCATCAATCTGTCGAGCGAGAAGGAGCCAGAGATATTCAACGCCATTCGTTTCGGCTCCATCCTGGAGAACGTTGTATACAATCCTTTATCGCGCATACCGGATTATGACGATGTTGGCATCACGGAGAACACGCGCTGCGCATATCCGATTGAATACATTCCAAACGCCAAAATCCCATGCATGGTGGACAAACAACCGAGCAACATTATCATGTTGACGTGTGACGCATTCGGTGTCCTTCCCCCTGTTAGTAAACTTTCCCCAGAGCAAGCGAGCTACCATTTCCTTGCTGGTTACACCTCGTGAGTGTATTTTTGCTTCTGTCAGCGCTACTCGCTAAGTCGCGCTTGAAGGAAAACTCCTGGGACAGAGGATGGTGTCCTTGAGCCTATTCCGACATTCTCGACCTGCTACAGTGCACCTTTCATTGTGTTACACGTGGGTTTTTATCTCCTCCTAAGAACTCCTGAGCTAAGCCTTACTGTATCAGCCTGGACGCTATGCAGAAATGCTGGCTGAGCGCATGTCCAAACATAACGTGTCCTGCTGGTTAATCAACACGGGCTGGACAGGTGGTAAGTTCGGCACCGGCAAGCGCTGCCCACTCAAATACACCCGCCGCATCGTCGATGCCGTACACTCTGGCGAGCTTCTCGATAGTGAGTATGAGACCTTTGGCGGCTTCGGGCTCCAGATTCCTACTGCGGTAGAGGGTGTTCCTCGCGAAGTTCTCAACCCGCGTCTGGCTTGGGCAGACAAGGAGGCTTTTGAACGTGAGGTTCGCAAGCTTGCGGGCATGTTCCAAAAGGCGTTCAAGTTGTACGAAAGCGATGTGCAAGAAAGCGTGAGGTTGGCGGGTCCACGGGTGGACTAGAGACTCGGAGTAAACTCGGAGTCGCTCATTATTTATGAGGCAGGTATAGAGTGAAGTTATATAAATATTGCCATCTGAGCTGTACTGTACTTCATGTATGTAATATACAAGGAAGTCAATGGATTCGAACACACGGAATCATCTGATGAGTCAAATAAAGAGTAAGTGGCCATCATCAGAAGACTTTCGATCGCTTGCTGTTTGAACCGATCACCATCTACATTCATGGGTATGAACCTTTGGGGAAATATGTGCTAGACTACTCTTGTAAGATGTCCCCACACACGATTGAGAAGGTCTCGGACTACTGAAGTACGAGGTTCTCCAGGGCGAGATAGCTCCCAAATCAACTTTTGGAGTGCCTCTTGAGCATTCTCAGAACGCTCCGACCCATCCCGAGGCAAGTAAGTGAAGGTAATGGATGACCCTAACAATGGGTCCTTGCCGGTGTCATTTGACCCCTCCCACCATCCTTTCGCGTCCTCATCACTGTCGCAGCCACAGACCACAACAACTAAGCTGACCTTGGATTTCGCGTAGACCTTGCAAAACTTCTGCACCTCCGTTCTCTGCGTATTGACAGACTCGTCCTTGTCCACGTAGAAAATCAGCAAGCAAGGTTCGAAACCAATGCCTCCTTTGGACCGTTTTGCCGGCGGATAGGGTGCAGTTACGCGCTGGAACATGTAGTAATGCCCGCGCATGACAACCGTGGATCTGACCCATGCGCCATTAATGACACCCGCGATGTTGCAAACATTCATGGGGGCTGGGACAGCAGAGTCGCACACGATTACGCTTCGTGGGTTGTCCCTTTCATGGTCATCGTGCGCCCATACGACGTCACGAAAACCTTTTTGATCGGGCAAGCGACACTGGTCGATAAGTTCGCAGAGGGTATGATATGATTGTTTGCTACGCTGTCTGAGTTCGTCGCTGTCACCTTTGTCGATGGTTATGGTGGTGACACATGCGTGGCCAGCGAAGGTCATCTTGAGGTTTGAGATGGATTGTTGGTTTTTCCTCCACCATTCTTCCATGTCTGGCTCTTGATTTTCCAAACGTGTGACGACAATGACGATCGGAACTTTCTCCTTGACTTTGGAATATAATGACATGTAGTTCCGGCGGAGCGCTAAGCTCTCTCTCGTGCCCTGCACGCAATACATGAGGAGATGAATACCATCCTGTTCCATCAGGGTTTGAAGGAGCTTCTTTAAAACTTTTTGAGCCTCCTTATCGGGAACTGTTCCCTCAGAGCCCTCATCAAGACCTGTAATACATGTCAGTAACGCTCACCAAGAGCGGCTCACTGCGCTTACCGGCGGTATCGAAAAGCTTTATGTTCAAGATCTTGTTCTGAAGTACAATGTCATGCTCGTACACGGTCGTTTTAGTGGTACATCCCATGGCATCGGAGGACGTCGGCGCCGATTGCGTCCTAGTGATCAAATTGACCAAGGAGCTTTTACCAGCTCCTGTTTCTCCAAAAATGACAATATTGCATGTTTCTGTGCGATGTACAGTTCCCGGGATATCGTCGGTATCATCGGTACTCTGATCAGCATTCAGGTTAACTGTATGACGAGCAAGAGCCAAACACTACTCACAGTAGATGGTCGTCTCTCAGTAGATAAAGACATGATCGACTTGGAACAAGGAATAGAGGCAGTCTCGACTTCCCAGAGTGTTCGGCTTTTTGAGAGTCCCTAGTCTGATGACTTCAGGTATAATTTCCCAGTTTTGTCAGAACGTCGGTGTGTCGAGGCGCCAGATTTGAATATCGATCACGACGCATGTATTCAGCATGTTGAATGTTCCATGCCATTCCATGGATGCGAGAAAGCTAGCATCGAACACCATATAAGCGTGCAACAGGTTGCAGCATGTTGGTTATGCAACACTGGCTTCGTACATGCATGATGCACCTCGGAACTGGAGCTCGCTTGCCGAGTTAGGAAGACTAATAGCAATAATTTAAACGATGGCAGATGTTGTCTAGACTCTGAAACAGGCTCCCGGTCACGATGCACGATAATTGCTTGAGCTTGCTGACACTGCTAAGCACTGCTACCTGTAAGGCATTTTCGTGAAAAGATTATTATGTCAACAAGTTTGAGTTGTGTTCAATTCGGTCATGGACCTGACGCGTGGGAGGTAGTTTGTAACGAGGTGTGGATCAACACGCTCTACTATAAGATCATGATCCTCTGCAAATTGTATGAAAACAGGCCTAGGCCCTGCTCGTGTGTGGAAGGAAATATTTGCGTCTAATTCAAGTGCGTAATTGATCCTGCAGTATTTCAAGCATGCATCGCACCGAGATACTGTTTGCAATCATGTATGTACCGATTCATAAGGGCAAGGCCGTATTACCGACAACGACAGTCTGTAATAGGATGAGGTATAAGTTCAATGCGAGGTCAAACTAACTTGATCGCATCAGCCAACTGTTTCGCGACGTCCGGAGATATGCCACAGCGCTTCGTGAGACGAGGGACAATATCCTTCCTTTTCACATGTGAACCTATTGCAAGTAGCCCCTTCAGCCTGCGCATCAACAACACAAACAGGTTGTCCCCTCCCATCCATGCCTGCTTCTGTCCGTCGGCAGTAAATTCCTCGACAAGCTTGCGGATCGTGATGCGCGATTGTTCATAAAGGTCCTTGTGTCTGCCGTCCAATCTACTCGCGGTGGTAATGCACACATGACCGGCGACCTTTATCTTGTACTTGTTGAAGGTCTCCTTGTTTCTATCCCACCAGTCCTCCATCCTCTGCTCTCTCTCGAGGTTTGTGATGGCGAGCACCATGGGAACCTTCTTCTCGCAGAGGAATTCGTGAAAGAGACGATAATTGCTTTGATGCGTAGCAGTGACTCTGCTAGCACGAATGCAGAATATGAGCAGATCAATGCCGCCTTTTTCATCCAGTTCCCTGACGAGCTTATAGGCGTTTTCGACAGACTCGATGTATTCTTTGATCCCCAGCTGCGGTTCTTCGAGCCCGATGGTATCGAAAACCATGTACGAGCTACCATGGAAGTCGATAGGATACTCTGTCCATCTCATTGTACAGCGTTGCGTGTCAGGAGATGTGCGTGCTACCTCCTTTCCCGCCATGAGGTTGACGAGCGAGCTTTTGCCTGCTCCTGTCTCCCCAAAGACTACGATAGTTTTCCGCCTGTTCTTGTTCATCAATACGGTATAACAAGCATATGACTACGTACTTGTGAGTGGTATTAAACACCTCAGAATTGGCAACGGTATCTTGACGTTGCGGAGCACGGCGTTGCTGGTCAGGATACGTGGCTGCTATCTCCCTGACGCTGGCGGGTGAGCCACTGCTAGCCACCGAGTCCCCAGTGAGTACGATACTATTTCTATTAATCAAGGTTGGCAAAATGCGGTACGAGGAGCAACTGAAAACCGAGTCCCCTGTAACCATTTCAGGAGGTACCTGCCGGATAGTGTTATGATGCCTGTCGCCAACATCCAACAGTGAACCGTGACATTGACTCCCTTTTGTGCGACACTGCTCGATAAGTTGGCAAAGGGCGTGGTATGATTGGTCATGGCGCTGCTTGAGCCTGGTTCCTTCATCTTCGTTGATAGTCACCGTGGTGACACATGCATGGCCAGCAAAGGTCATCCCGAAGCCTGAGATGAGTCGTTCGTTATTCTTCCACCAGTCTTCCATCTCTGGTTCCTGGTATTCCAAACAAGTAGCGACAAGGACGATTGGAACTCTCTCCTTCACTTCCGAACGGATGAAGTTGTAGTTGCGGCAGAGCGCCTTACTAGCTCTCACGCCCCGCACGCAGTATATGAGGAGCTGAACATCATCTCGAAGACTTTCAATGAGTTTCTTCAAGACTTGTTGAGCTTCTTTATGAGGGACTGCTCCTTCAGAGCCCTCATCAAGACCTGTAATCTAGTTCAGCAACAGTCACGGAGAACAGAAAACTTGCACTGACCCGGGGTATCAAAAAGCTTCACCTTCAAATGGTTGTTTTGCATTGAGACGTCGTACCCGATGGGTTTAATGGTACATCCCGTAGCGTCGCGGGATGTCTGCGCCGTGTGCTTCTTAGCGACCAAATTGATCAAAGAGCTTTTTCCAGCGCCCGTTTCTCCAAAAATGACAACATTGCAGGTTTCTTTCGTGTGGTGCGAAGCCTCAGTCTGGTTCGGAATGTGAAGATAATTTCGCGTCAAATTTATAGCACCAGATTCATTACTTACAGTGACAGCACATTGTTCTCCACCGATAGACAACATTGCATAGATGACTCAACTACAAACAAGACAGGAAATGGCGAAGGGCAGGTCTTGACTTGCGCATTTGGTGTTTTTTGAGGTAGTATCTCCCGATTAGTAGTTGAATAATTTGTGTCGGACTCGAACATCCAGGTTCCAAAACAGTGAAAATCACGATGCAAGGATGCCACATGTTCGGATGGCCAAAGAGCCATGCTGCGTATACGTTGGGCTTTGTATAGCTGTTGCCCCAGGACCAAGTGCATCTTGGGCATAATTATGTAATCAGGCCTAGGGGTTTGTAAAAGCGGTGCCGATTTGGAAATTGTCCACGGAGTCTGGCACGTCGAGTGCTGGACTGACAACAGTCAAGTATCTCATGTTCGTGTACCTAATAGTGACCAGTAAATTCACATTTAACTACTTACTGTGCATCTACATATACTGAAATAAAAAATACGTAGTATAGTATGTACCGATTCGTGAGGGTAGAGTCTGTAAAGGATGAGGTACAAGTTCAATGGGAGGTCAAACTAGTTTGATCGCATCAGCCAACTCATTGGCGACTTCTGTAGATATGCCACAACGCCTCGTGAGTTGAGGAACAATATCATTCCTTCTCACATGCGAACCTCCTACAAGTAACTCCTTCAGCTTGAGCATAAACGAAACGAACAGGCTGTGTCTTCCTGTCCATTTCTGCTTCTGCCCGCCGGCAGTAAATTCCTTAACAAGCTTGCGGATCGTGATTCGCGATTCTTCATAAAGAACTTGGTGTCTGCCGTCCAATTTATTGGCAGCGGTGATGCACGCATGACCGGCGACCTGAATCTCGTACTTGCTGAAGGTCTCTTTGTTTCTATCCCACCAGTCCTCCATCCTAGTCTCTCTCTCTCGAGGTTTGTGATGACGAGAACAATGGGAACCTTCTTCTCGCAGAGAAATTCATGAAAGAGCCGATAATTGCTTTGAAGTGTGGCAGTGACTCTGCCGGCGCGAACGCAGTATATAAGCAGATCAATGCCGCCGTTTTCATCCAATTTCTTGACGAGGCGATAAGCGCCTTTGACAGACTCGATGTATTCTTCGATTCCCAGTTGCGGTACCTGGAGTCCGATAGTGTCGAAAACTGTGTACGAGCCACCGTCGAAGCCGATATGATACTCTGTCCACCCCATTGTACAGCGTTGCATGTCAGGAGATGTGCGTGCTACCTCATTTCCCGCTATGAGGTTGACGACCGAGCTTTGGCCTGCCCCTGTGTCTCCAAAGAGTACGATAGTTCTATCCCTGTTCTTACTATTCAAAGTCTTACTAATCAGAGTTGCACGAGGAGCAACTAAAAACCGTACCTTGCAGCCTCTTTTGAGAAATACTGTTCGATAAGTCGACAGACGGCATGGTATGACTGTTGACCGCGCTGCTTGAGCTCACCCCCGCATCTTTGTCGAAAGTCGCTGTGGTGACACATGCGTGACCAGCAAAGATCATCCCAAAATTTGAGATGGATCGCTCGTTATCCTTCCACCATTGTTCCATGTCTGGTCCTTTGTATTCTAAGTTTGTTGCGACAAGAACGATTGGAATTCTCTCGTTCACTTCGGAGCGGATTAAATCGTAGTTGCGGCAGAGCGCCTTCGTCACTCTCACACCACGCACACAGTACATGAGGAGATGAATGTCAGTTTGCTTCATAAGATCTCGAAGTAGCATCTTCACAACTCTTCGAGCATCCTTGTCGGGAACATTTCCTTCAGAACCCTCACCGAGACCTGTAATCCAGATCAGCAACAAACACCAAAGAGCAGAGAATTGTACTGACCGACGGTATCGAAAAGCTTTACCTTCAAGGACCCATTCCGAAGTAAAACGTCATACGCATTGGTCTTAATTGTACATCCCATAGCATCGCAGGATGTCGGCGCCGTTTGGGCCCCGAGGATCAAATTGACCAAGGAGCTCTTACCAGCGCCCGTTTCTCCAAAAATTACAACATTGCAGGTTTCTTGTGCGTGATGCGAAGCTTTGCTCTGTTTTGGAAAGTGAAAATAATCTCACGTCAAACTTGTGCTGATGAGGCACCAGAGTCATCACTTACAGTAGATTGTTCTCCACCAACAGATGACATTGCAAATATGGCTCAACTCCAGACAAGACAAGAAATAACGAAGGGCAGGTCTTGACTTGTGCGTTTGGTGTTTTGAAGTACTAGAATCTTTCGATTAGTTAAATCATTTATTAATACGTCAAATTCCGGACGTCCAGGTGCCAGATCAAGGAAAATCAACTACAGTGCAAGGATACTGCATGTTCCATACGCTGTCGAAACAACGTTGGATGGTGTAGGAGGCATGCTGCGTATGCGTTGGGCTTTGTACACGCTCTAAGCAGCAGGAGTTACATAACTGTTCAGTCCTGGATAAGGACATACTTAGCAATGCGGCAGGTGGTCAACCAGACATGCACATGCATCATGAGGTAATTGATTAGGCGTCAATCATCTCTTTGAAGAAGCGGTGCCAGAGACGTGATAGTAGCAGCATGCGTGATTGAACGTGCTTGTAATCCCAAATCTGGGGGAACAGTAACATTGTTGTTCAATTAATGCTATAAGCAGTTGACCGGTGAAGAGCTTAATCGGGGACCGCGAAAGTCGATAATTAAAAGTGCACTGGCAGGTGCCTATTCTTGACCATGGAAAGCGCCGCGGGCTAACGAGACTCAATAGCAACATGATGGACTTCCAGAGTCCTCATTTGCGGTTGTGGTACCGCAGTTGGGGTAAGGTGCTGCCGCTGATGACGGTAATAAGGAATGCGCGTCGGGGTTAGGAAAAGACGACGTCGAGAACAGCAGACTGCGACAAATTCGTTGTTTCTTTGAAGAGGATGTTTTGCATTCGCACATTTTTGATTGGTCTTCAAGTTGAGGTCGGATGGGACGAGTTTTGGTTCCAAGATATGAAAAACATGAAGAGCGAGGTTTTATTCTAAGAGCTAATGTCACGGCTGCCCGAGGACAGAGAGAGTAGTAGCGGGAATGTCCTGGGGGATGCGTCAGCGCTTCAGGCATCGGAAGTGGGCGATAGAGCTTTACTTATCGACAAATTACATAACTATTATTAAACTTAGTTAAGTGTGTTGGCAACACTTCGTTCAAAGCAGGACAATATTTACCAGTTGTGACCATTCAATTTCAATAACCCAGGTGAGTAACAACACCGCCCCAAAGTCTTCATTTACCAATCTTCCGTCCGATGTTGGGATGTAGACGAATCAGACAAGCGCTGGGCCCGTGGAAACAGTATGACTTCATGCAGCTGCAGGGACTAAAAGACGACGTAGTTGCTGCTCTACGTTTGTCCGTGATCAACGCGTACTATGATGAACGTGAGATTCGGACTTCGAGAACTATAACTTATCATCTTTTTCAACAGGTGGTTACTAATCAAGTCCTCGAGTCCAACACGAGTTTGCCTCGAGTTGTTCGAGAATCTGGTGGGTGCCGTTTTCAATACCACGGGCTGGCATCTAAAGGACGGGCGCAAGAAACGTGATGTCCTGCAAGTTTACGTCTGTCTTTATAAGAACTGCCGCATCCGAATTCAGTGTCGGCCAAACGCTTCAATTGAGCACTATCAGGAGCATCCCTCTTTAAATGACTTCAGAGTACGTAGTCTCCAGATGCTCATCGTACTGTGGTCGTCTCATATTGAAATATGTAGGACTAAGTCGCCAAGAACAACTTTGAGTCTCAATACCAATGCATCACCGGCTTCTCCCAGGCATGTAGTCTCCAGATGACATCCTGGTTTTCTTCTCTATTAACAAGCGCGGACAGGCGTAAAACTATCGTACTCTTTGGAGAGACGGGAGCAGGCAAAAGCTCACTCGTCAACCTCATGGCGGGAAAGGAGATAGCACACACATCTCCTGACATGCAACGCTGTACATTGCAGTGGAAAGAATACACTATGGGCTTCGACGGTGGCTCGTATAAGGTTTTCGATACCATCGGGCTCGAGGAACCGCAGCTGGGAATCAAAGAATACATCGAGTCTGTCGAAAACGCTTATCGGCTCGTCAGGGAATTGGATGAAAACGGCGGCATTGATCTACTTCTATTCTGCGTTCGCGCCGGCAGAGTCACTGCCACACTTCAAAGCAATTATCGGCTCTTTCACGAATTTCTCTGCGAGAAGAAGGTTCCCATTGTTCTCGTCATCACAAACCTCGAGAGAGAGACTAGGATGGAGGACTGGTGGGATAGAAACAAGGAGACCTTCGACAAGTACAAGATTCAGGTCGCCGGTCATGCGTGCATCACCGCTGCCAATAAATTGGACGGCAGACACAGAGATCGTTATGAAGAATCGCGCATCACGATCCGCAAGCTTGTTAAGGAATTTACTGCCGACGGGCAGAAGCAGGCATGGACAGGAGGACACAGCCTGTTCGTTTCGTTTATGCTCAAGCTGAAGGAGTTACTTGTAGGAGGTTCGCATGTGAAAAGGAAGGATATTGTTCCTCAACTCACGAGGCGTTGTGGCATATCTGCAGAAGTCGCAAGAGAGTTGGCTGAGATGATCAAGCCAAAGTAAGCTTGACCTCCCATTGAACTTATGCCTCATCCGATTATAGACTGTCATTGTCGGTAACACGGCCTTATGGATCGGTACATACATGATACTACATATTTGCAAACAGTTATAGCTCGTATTTCAGTCTCAAGCTGCATTATATAAATGCGCAGATCGAGGTCTCCACGTTAGCCGACGGTATCTCGAGCTTCCCCGACTCCACGTCAGCGGAAAGGGTTCTCTTGGACTGTCAGAAACGTTCAAACACCTGCAAACGCACCCGTGGGAATGGGAAAAAATTGTTGCGCTTAGTCAGTGGGGAAAGCTTTTGTTCGTTGATTGCCTCAAGAGGTGTGCAAAAGGGAAATGCCGAACATACAGCCCACCATTAGATAAGCTTTTAAACCTTAATACACAGCCACTTGAAGTTGCCAGCAGACCGTTCTGAGTTCCTCGATAGCGGTGTAGCGATGGTCGCGGCATTGGGCTCAAAACCACGTATTTCCATACTCACATCAACACCCGAAACATATGCACACATGTCCGGGCCACTCCATATTGGATCCGGCGCATCGGACCTTTGGTGTTACAAGAACATCTAGACACTTGGGCCCCTACCATTTTTTCTCCTAATCCTCCTCGTATCAGCCCTCACGTCATACCCTTACCCTGACCTTACCCTTGTCATCCTTGTCATCCTCGCATTCCCCTTCGCTCTCTACCTGTTGCTTCAGCAGAGCCAGTACATCTGGCCGGATCCTTTCGCTGACGAAGCATACCCATGCTCCGTTCCACCACCTGACTGATCCTGTGGACAGTCCCCTTGCCCTTACCGTCCAGACGGTAACCTATGATATGATGCACGACGCATCCCCTTACCCTATTCCCTTTCTTGATCTCTGACTCGGTGCGCAGTCGCACATGCGACTTATACTTAGTTCCGCAGTTGCACGATCGTGCCCCTGCGTGTTTCACTTCTTATTCTGATCTTTGACTCACTTCTTATCTGCATGTTCAGGACTCGCCCGTGTCTCACCTTGAATGTGCCTTCCTATTATGGTCATACCCTTTACCGTTTACTTCTCTTGGTAGTACGAGTTATCATCCACTAATACGCTTCCCGTCCTCTATATAAACTCGCTACCATGTAACATATTCCCTAACTTGAATCTACTTGGTTCTTGACCTCCTACTCTCACCAGAGTGATCTCTTCTGCCTAGCCAGCAGTCTATATTCTATCTTCTTATCTGCTCTTCGCGGATAAGCCTATAGTCTCAATCTTTGCTCATCGACTTTGTCGACAAGCAAAGCCCCTGTTAACTAGTCGGACTTCCGTCCTTCTAATTAACAACGATCTTACGATTAACCTTCGGGTGTCGTAAGTCTTGGCAGATACAGCTCATCGTCTAGCATCTGCTTGATGTAAGCTACCCGATTTGGACATAGGCGTCAAATCTTACTTGCCGAAGCCTCGCCAAGTAAGACCCCTAACCTTGGGCTAGCCCAAGGACGTCCTCGACCGTTGACGACACACGCTCTGTTTGAGCGTCGCCAACAGATACCATCCAAGTCGTAACATTCGGACATCGCATCGGCCGATCGCACTTCGCGTGCACTTGTCCATCCCGTGTCCTGTCCATCCGAACTAGCCTCACTAGGTGCGTAGTTATTCCCGTGCACATTTTCTGACATTTGGACCGTGTTATTACATGTCCGCAGCACCTTGTGTGTGTCTTATTACATAGGACATCGGACCCGAAATATATCGCTACTATCTTCGCCTGTAGTTTTCCGAATTTCTACGTACTTACTTAAATACTCTGTAGTGACCCGTAGCAATCATCATCCAGTAGTTAGGAGCCATTTCCCAACTCTGCAGATCACCCAGAATATTCTCGTAGTTCTTAGTTGCATTGCGAAATATTACCATTCGTTCACCGTCATATTCCGTCACTCATTATACTCGTGCATACCGCTCGCAATCTGACACTCATTATAAAGTTTCCGACCTATTATTGTGAAGTCTGAAAGTCCGAAATCTCGGACATCACACTTTGGCTTCGGACATTGGATAAGTACCTTCGGACATCATTTCGCACCATCGGACATTTTGTTGTTTGCATTACTGACACATTTTTACTACTAATACCAATTAGCAATCCCTTTAGGATCGAACGCACTTGCTCTGCAAGTATAGCAGCATAGGTCGTGCTAAGATCTACCTAAATATTTGTTGTCTAGGTAGTACAATTTCTGCTGAGCCCAGCGGAGATCAGCTTTCTACAGCGGCATCAGAAGTTAGTAGAATTGTTGACTGAAGACCAAGAGGGGGGGGGGGGGGGTTTGCTAGCGTAGAACACATTGTGATAGTTAAATCAATGAAAAATGCGTGTTACAGGGCGTTGCTCACTAAAATCCAGTATTTTGGATGTCATGTGTGAGAACATGTGACTTTGATATCAAGTCGCGTCTGATATCAATAACGCGCATCTTATTACAACTCTTATACCAATCTTATACCCTCTCTGTCCTGTCGGCCCACCAACTGTCCTTTTCAAAGACACGCTTTTGTTTATTATGTACTCTAACACTCGTCCATCACATGCAGGCCAGTTCCCATTAATTTACGACACTTCAGCACCCAGTATCAGTAACAACTCAAATGAAACTTCGCAGCATGGATCAAATTGCACGTCTCTTAATGATTCTAATATATCTGGACATTCTTGCAGTCCCACCATAGATTTCCAAGTACAACTACACCCTGAAGATTTAGTAGATGGGTACCATTCAGAATCTTATACTTTGCCTGATACACTATCCAATCACTGGAATTCCGACGGTAGATGTGATTCCCAAGAGTCAGAGTTCCCGCATATACCATCAATTGCCCTACCTCCAGACTTCAACATTGATGCAGCACTCAGATTAAATACTGCCAAGGTGCTGTATGATGTATTCAGGGCAAATGGCCTCGAGGTTGACAGCACTGGTCCGAGATGGACCCTTCATTGTCCTGACTGCAAGGAATGGTGCCAGACCAGCATACCCTCAGGCATTATGCTTTGGTATGAAGGCCAATTCAGCTCCTTGGTCAGTCATTGAGGCAGCAAGCGATGCATACAGGCTAAACGACGGATGGAGCAAGCTCAGATTGATGATGTTTGATCATTATCGCATTCTGAGTCCCTTATCACTGCATTCTCACCTTCCCAATCCCTTATTACCTCAGATCACAGGTATGTTTCTGATTTCATTTTGGCTCTAGTTCATAATGTCATACTTACTACTACCAAATAATTTTTAAGCCGTCTTGCTTCCTCCTCTCACCTCAATGACTGTCCTGGAGTCACTGTTGTCTGTCCAGATGACCTACGTCCATTCCTCATGCTCTTCCCCTGGAGTCAGTATCATGATGGCCCTGATGCATTGCCTTTCACTATCGATAGCACACAGCTGAGTGTTCCTCGTGCTCAATCAAAGTATTGCACGCATATGTCTTTCCAGGGCTTACCATGCAATGAGTGTTCTGATGTGCACAGACACATAACGTACCTTTCTGAAATAGCTCGCGATCCCAAGCACCACACTAATTACAAGTATCTCGGCCTTGGACACATGCAAGATATTGCAAAGACATATGCTGAACAAATTAAGCAGCTAAAATTGCAGGTATGTTTACATAGTTTCAGATAAGTGTTTTAACTGACACTAAATAGGAACTTGATCATTCTCGCAAATATATGCGATCTCTCACCCAACTGGATGACTACAATCAGCTCCTTATGGCCATATCTGAAAAAGATATCCCCTACATCCACCAAATCATTGACATTGCTCTACGTCATGGTTCCAGTGTGCAGGAGGTTGTTAATAAGCTTGAGGATGCTCTCGAGGGTGCATACACCCCTCGAGGTTATGGTGCTGATGACCTCAACATTGCAACTCTTGTTTTCAGGCTCGGTGGGCGCCAGCTCCTGTTTGCACTGAATCAATCACTCGGTCTCCCCTCTCTCCATACTCTCTGTTCCAAATTGATCTTCACCTCAATTGTGCCAACCATTGGTCCTATACGAGATGAGCAGTTTGACCAGAATATTTGGAACATTGTCATGACCACATGTGCACACTTGTCACTCGCATCATTGCATGGTGTCAGTCTGATGATTGATGAAATTGCCCTTGAGGAGATGGCAGTTCACTTTAGCAAGTATAATAAGGTTGGGGGACTTTGCTGGAAGCATTCCCATGTTGTAGAACCCGTCCTCCGCACATACAAGTCCACTGTGCACATCGCGCAAAAAATTCACAATGGCAAACTTCACCTTGGGAAGGAACTCACAGTGATCAGCATCTCTTGCTTTGGCAAAGATGAGATCTATCCTATTTTAGCGGCACCCACCTGCAAGTCCGAAGATGCCTCTGATATGGAATGTATCCTTGCCCATGCCATTGGTAGCTGGAACAGGACTGGTGCATCAGAGTCCGTCAGCCCAATCTGGTCATTAGCGACAGATGGTGATGTGACTAGGCGTGCTGCTGGTCATAAGTTATTTGTCAGGTTCCCACTACCTCCTGAATCACCTTTGTATGGGACGCTCGTCAACTTGCCAGGACTCAATTGAATCATGGGTGAAGGTGAAATCACACTTGATTTTGACTTCAAGCATGTTTTCAAATGTAAGTGCTTCTTTCCACTATGAATGTCATAACAACTGACATTTATTTAATTGAATCTAGGCATTTGTACACTTATTTGGGCACCTGGGGGAATAGTCCTAAACAATGGCCGTGTCATAAATTCAATGATGCTTGCATGGTATCTGGTGTGGTTGCCCGCCTATGATGAAGCAGCAGTAATGAAACTCCTTCACCCTGACAATCCCCAAGATGTCCCTCGTGCTGTCGAACTCATGCTTGCTATCATCAAGTTCTCAAAATCTCAGTGCCATGTCTTGAACAACTCATTTTCCCTCATAGTTGACACTCATGCCGACCTTATTTCAATTTCTCTCCTCAGTGCGCTGCTTGAATCAATTCTTACTCCATTTATCAATGTCTGTCTCTCTCTGTCTGAGCAATTCCAATACCTCAGTCATTATGTGCACCTGGCTTATGCATTTTTTCATGCTCATCGGCGCTCATTCATGTCCTATCAGCTTTATCATGACACTCAAACCATGGTGAAGAATGCTTGCTTCTCTCTAGCCAAGCAACAGTCACTGGACCCGCACGCTCGCTTTTACCTTGGCAATGTTGGAGACAACCCCCTTGAGATCCTTTTTGGTTGTACACATATGATTGGGGGACACAACTCAGCATGCTCTTACGCTCAGGCCATCAATCGTCTTGGTGCTGCAAAGGATATTGATGGTGTTTTTAAACGTCATCCCGAGCTTGATCCGGGTCATCGACGCCTCAAACTTACACCATGAGGGAGTTGATCATATCAATCACGAGATCTGGAAGGGTGATAATGTTGTGAACAGATGTGATCTCCTGTTGGTGTGGCGCAATGGTCGTGATTTGGCGCTCTCCATTCTCATCACATCACAGCTTGATTTGGTTCATTATTCCTTTGCTGATCATTTCAACAACCCTAACATCGACATGCTGCGTCTGTTTGGACAGAACAAATACTTCGGCATCACAACGGAGGAGGAACTCGAAGACCCAAGCCATGTACCAGAACTTCCCCCACCTGTTACAAGCTCATCACCCTTACAATGTTTGGAGACCATCTTGTCAACTGAGGATGGCAATATGCTTCAGCTAGATGAGTATAATGGACATGTAGAAGAAGACGAGATCATGCTGACATTTCAAGATTCAGACGCGCTTTCCCCATCATTGCCACATGGACCCAGGATACGCCCAGACGACTATGTGTTATATGATGGACGCTGGATCCACAAGCAGACTATATGTCGACTCGTCATCAACAAGGACTTTGTATCAAAGTCTCTCAATCGGCTCAAGCATGTCCGGGAAGGCTATACAAAGGTGAATAAATGAATTGATATGTCTGCAGGACAGATCATGGACAGGAATTTATTCCTTGTCAGGGATATTTTTCTTACAATCCTTCGCTCTGGTCATAACCTTTCCATTGGTGTCCTTCGCTCTACATCGGCAAGCCTTAATGGTGTATCTTGCGCATTGATTGACATAACTATCATGACATCTTTGCATTCCACTGCAAAAATCACAGGACAGCTCCTCAGTGTCATTCCAACCGACGCTTCGCCTGATGCCACTCAGATGTTCTTGTGGGATGGGGGATATGTCACTGCTTGATTGATTATACAAGGAACATCTGACTCCACAGCGCGTGTCATTGTTGTCACTGTTCCGGGTCCTCTTGTGGAACCCGTGAATCCTGAACTGACTTTCATTTGCCTATGTGGAGACATCAACAGCAATGCGTTTTCTCAAGTCAACGGTGGCCAGAGCACGTGGCAGATCCATTGAAATGCTATGCAAGCTGCCTGCGATCTCATCTGGGCAAAAACCACTCAAATGAAGCTATCACTCAGGTCTATTGTGTTGGTCATGCTGTTAAATGTGAAATCTTTCCCTTACCAGTTCTCTGATGGTAAGTCTCATTTGCTTTGATGTTGCACATTGTTTCTGATGATTTTCTTGTATTTCAGGGACTGTTGCAGTGTTCTTGGCTGAGGCAAACAGCCTGTTAACAGCATCCAAAGGAGAGCATGTCACAATGTGTCTGCTATGTGAAGCCAAGGTGCCGGATATGCGATGCCATGTGGGTCAACACATCCTTCGTGCATTATGCAACACGCGCGAGGTCATCAGTATGAAGGAACAGGTACATCTTTTAATAATGTTTGTTTGCAACACTGATTATTCCAAATACTAGGTTGGAGAGCATCATCCGTGCGGGTTCTGTGGGCATTCAGGATGGCCAGAGTGTGCCATCATGATCACAGTCACTGCAAGCAGCGCACCTACCTGGACAACATGCTGTAAATATCAGCATGCCTTCAAATATGGAGCTGTTGACAATGGATTGAAGAACAAGCCTTGCTGAAACCTCCCTCTCAAGTGCACACTGTGCTATCTGGTACTCCCCCCAGAGCCTGGGAGATCTTCGCAAAAGGCACCTGTTCTCGCTGTTGATGCTATCTGGTGCTACAACATGCTTGAGCATGTTATGACAGTGCATGATGAATATTCAGTTCCTGGGTACAGATCAGAGGGTGTTGAGCTGCCTGCAAGCACCCGCAATGATATTATGCTGACAGACCTTGAGCAGAGCAGTGTGTGCATCCCGAAGGAGCGCTGGATCACCCCACCAAACGTTTCGTCTGGGACGGACAAGGAGAATGTCCCTGCATCAAGTTCCCATCCTGTCAAACGCTCTATGACCACTTCTACTAGCTACAAGCCTGCCAAGTGCACTTGCACTACTCGCACTTGACTTCAGCAGCCTACCGCCTCAGTTGCTTGATGTTCTCTTCACTTGCATTTATTTCTATTGCTATCACACATGCTCTCTCGTATTGCTCACTACATCTCTATTGTTTCAGGAATATGCTTTCTATTAGCTCGTACATAGTCTACAACATGCTGTTGAAGTAGTGCTACAGTAGTTCCCATTGTCGTGTACTCGTGCTGTTCCCTTGCAATCAATCATTGTCTTTCTGCTTGTTCTTTGGATCAAAGTGATCAAAAAATAGTTACCATATATGGATATATTGGTGTTATTGTCACTGTGACAGGGGGGTGGGGGGGGGCTCCGAAGTTGCAACAGGTGTATGTCCTATATTGCAAATTTGCACACCTCTTGGATTGCCTCTTGTCATTAATATTGTTGTCATCGTTCTCACTCTCAGTAGATAGATCATAAGTGTTTGTTGATTTTTCCATCATCTCTTTTGATTCATTTGTGTTGGTCGTCCCTCAGGGTTTTCATTCAAAAATTGCCTTGTCATTTGGCTCGCTGTAGAAAGCTGATTTCTGCTGGGCTCAGCAGAAATTGTACTACCTAGACAACAAATATTTAGGTAGATCTTAGCACGACCTATGCTGCTATACTTGCAGAGCAAGTGCGTTCGATCCTAAAGGGATTGCTAATTGGTATTAGTAGTAAAAATGTGTCAGTAATGCAAATAACAAAATGTCTGATGGTGCGAAACAATGTCCGAAGGTACTTATCCAATGTCCAAAGCCAAAGTGTGATGTCCGAGATTTCGGACTTTCGGACTTCACGATAATAGGTCAGAAACTTTATAATGAGTGTCGGATTGTGAGCGGTATGCACGAGTATAACAAGTGACAGAGTATGACGGTGAACGAATGGTAATATTTCGCAATGCAACTAAGAACTATGAGAATATTCTGGGTGATCTGCAGAGTCGGGAAACGGCTCCTAACTACTGGATGATGATAGCTACGGGTCACTACAGAGCATTTAAGTAAGTACATAGAAATTCGGAAAACTACAGGCGAAGATAGTAGCGATATATTTCGGGTCCGATGTCCTATGTAATAAGACATGAGGTGCTACGGACATGTAATAACGCGGTACAAATGTCAGAAAACATGCATGGGAATAACTACGCACCTAGTGAGGCTAGTTCGGATGGACAAGTGTGTGCAAAGTGCGATTGGCCGATGCGATGTCTGAAGGTCCGATGCGCCGGATCCAATACGGAGTGGCTCGGACATGTGTGAAAGTGCGTTGGACATGTGCGCATATGTTTCGGGTGTTGACGTGAGTATGGAAATACGTGGTTTTGAGCCCAACACCGCGACCATCACTACAGCGCGCTTCGGTTCACGGTCTCCGTCTTAGCATCAGCCAACCTTAGTTGGGGTGTTAACACTCGTCTTGTCTTGTCTTTCTCTTGCTTCTCTTGCTCGCTTGTCTCTCGCCTTTGCTCACACGTGCTACCTTTGCGTCGTGCACCTCGACCTTCACCTTTCGCACTCACGTGTTCACCTTCCGTACATTGCATTGTTTCTGCTTCACGCTTCGCACGTTACTTAGCCCTAGTACTTCATTAGTTGTTTGGTGTCCCTCTTTTTTTACAAAGAGAGGTTTCCTTTACTCAGTTAGCTGCCCTTGGGACAACGATTTCACTCACACCTGGGTCTATCTGTGTTTGCTTAGCTTAGCACCAACTTCCCCCACAGTCTAGATTCCTCATCTTCATCAGAACCCATTTAAACCAAAGCTGAACCATTTATCCAGTGCCAGAACCGAGAACTGTACTATCACAGCGGGGATTACAATATTTAAGACAGCTTTGAATGTCATGTGAAATGTGAAGATAATACTTAATATTTTGGTTGTCATCTAAGCAGATATAAAATTTCAAATATTAACAAGATCTTGTATGACAAGAAAAATATAAAGCATTAGCGAACATTTTGTTACTATCTAAATGTCAATGACAATAAGAAATATAAATATTTTTTTAATGCTGGCATAAACTTCGAAATGAAACTTCACATTTAAGACTTGAAAAAACTTCAACTATGGGACGTGACTGAATGCCTGCTTATGTATGAAGTTTAGACCACTGCTTAGACAAGCATTAAAATTTAAAATAGCTCCTGACGATTAAATCTATTATAATAAAATCGCTCGCTCACGTGTAGTAGAGACAAACTTGACAGACATTCTCATTGGCTGGCTACCTTCTCACGTGCCTCACATCTCACATGACCGACACGCTGGCACCAACCAACGGTACTCGGCGCTCGCCAATCACCTTATTAGCCAAAGCCCCAAGGCCTTATACCTAATGCACGCACGTGCAGATCTCGAATCCACAAGGTATGTGATTTCAGTGAACTTCGAAGGGGCTTTTGTGACTCCTTCATCAGTTCTGCAACCAGTGCTCAATCCATCAGTGGACATGCATCCTCGCAGGAGTATGACACTCTCCAGGTAACATGACATTTAACTCATTGCTATTTCATTCTTACAAGATCATCCTTCAGCAAAGTTTATTTAAGCCGTTCAATGACTCCTTGAACACGCTGCCAAATGTGGCTGTAGCCCCCACACTGGGTCCGAAAACGAGCTGTCGCAAACGGGCGTGGGAGAATTCTGATGAGAATATCCCATGTATAGAGTCGGAAACTCTTGAAGCACGGAAGCGATGTGCTACGTCTAGCTTATCTAGCGACTTGGTGAGTTATGTTTCATTCTCTCGCTTCATAGTATGCTGAAGCTGTGGGTGCTGGCTATTTGAATCTCAGAGTCGCACTCAAATTAATCCTGAATTCTTGCAGGGTTCTTCCCGCCATGAACTTCAATTCCGAATTCCAAGGCTCAAAGACTATATTCAGGATGCGTCCCCACAGTCGATCCCCCCCGTTACCACATTCAATCGAGAACACGAGCGTTCAGAGCACGATCCTGTGCTCCCTCCTGCTGAGGTGAATAAGCGCTTGCTTGTGCAGCAGCGACGTCGTGCACGCGAACGTGTTGAGAAGGAAGCTATGCACCATGCTCCTACAGAGTCAGTAAATAAGCGCTCACTTGGTCAGCAGCGCCGTCGTGCACGTGAACGTGCAGAAAAGGAGCGCAGCCGCCAGGTAGCCACACCAATTGTATCCAACGAACCGCGTGCGCTATCTGTACCAAGGGCGGAGCCACAGACTCCAGGAGTGCGTATGGATGTAGATATTCCCTTCCACTCGCAATTGGAGCATGAACATGCTGAAGAGCAGATCGAGCATGGGCAACCTCATCATCATGAGCATGAGCCCCTCAAACAGCACCCTTTACGTGGGGCAGATGTCCTTGCTCGACCTCACCCACCACTGCGAGATGACCAAAATACAGTTGTGTGGAGGGATCCTGTTAATCTTCCTATTGCACGGCGTCCATATGTAGACCCACACTCTCGCCATGACCTGGGTCAAATGACAGTAGTCTGCCCTTATTGCCAGGCGCTACACTGGATGGATGAACGCCTCTCTTCATCATCGAAATCAAGACCACTATTTGGAATTTGCTGTGACCAGGATCAGGTTCGAGTGCCTCGGCTGCGACACCCACCATCTTACCTCCAGCGGCTCTTCGAAACCCGTACACCTGAAGCTATTGAGTTTCAGTCGAATATTCGCCAGTACAACACTGCCCTTGCATTCACCTCCTTGGGAGTTAACGTAGATCATGCAATCAATGCAGGAAGGGGACCTTACGTGTTTCGCATTCATGGGCAATTGTGCCACCGTATTGGACACATCGTACCATCAGAAGGCTGTCATCCAGTGTATGCACAGTTGTATATCTATGATCCACGTATGGCTCTTGATGAACACATGCAGCGCAATGAAAATCTTTGTCGACGTACCATGGAACGGCTCCAGACGCTCTTGCTTCAAAATCACTGATATGCTGCAATATTTCGACATGCACATGAGATTCTCTCCGCTCAGTCTGATGATTCACCTATCACTATTCGCCTACTTGCAGATCCGAACCGTGATCACCATCGGTATAATTTACCCACTGTTAGCGAAATTGCTGCAGTCATTCCTGGAGATGGAACTGCAACCACAGAGTCACGCGACATCATCCTTCACCGACGTGAGGGTCCACTGCAGAGAATCAATGATGGGCACCGGTCATATGCATGTTTGCATTACGTGCTGTTGTTTCCATATGGTGAAGATGGTTGGCATTATGACCTACAGATGCATCAACCTGGCAAAGAGACACCTAGCCGTATTTCCCAGATTCGTTACACAGCATTCCGGCTCTTTCCGCATCAAAATGAATTTTCTACAATACTCCGAGGCGGTACTCTTTTTCAGCAGTGGACTGTTGACATGTTCGCAAGTGCTGAACAGAATCGGCTTATGTACCTTCGTATGCATCAGCCACAACTTAGAGCATCACTTTACAGTGGTCTAGAGGATGCTGCTTCCAGTGACCATGATTTGAATCTCCATGACCTTGGTCAGCGTGTTGTACTTCCGTCGTCATACACTGGTGGTCCACAGTATATGTATCAGTGCTATCAAGATGGCCTGGCGCTAGCTCGCTACTTTAAGAAAGTTGACATATTCATGACTGTCACATGCAATCCCAAGTGGCCTGAAATCGAGTGCGAGCTCCTGCCAGGTCAAAGAGCTGCGGACCGTCCTGATTTAGTGGCACAAGTTTTTCACATGAAAAAATGAGCAATTCTGGATTATGTCTACAAGAAAGGAGTGTTTGGGCGGACAGTTGCTTGGATATACACCATCGAGTTTCAAAAGTGTGGTCTTCCCCATATGCACATGCTGATTTTCCTCGATCAGCCACACAAGCTTTTGACGCCAGCTGACATCGACACTGCAATCTGGGCAAGATGGCCAGACCCTGAAGTACATCCACTACTCTTTGAGACTGTCAAAGCCTGCATGGTACATGGACTGTGTGGTGCTCTCAATCCCAATGCTCCGTGCATGGAC